TGGACTCTAACGAGATTTTTACAGACCACACCTACGGAGGTAAGATAGCTTTATTCTACCCCTGCAAATAACATTAAGCGTTATAAATACATAGATGTTTCCGACACCGAATCAGTTGGAAAAAAAGATAGCATTGAAATAAAACAAATTTGGATTTTTTTTTATCATATCAACAAAAGATGTTTGAAAAGTTCAAAAAATACTTTGGATAACCTGATCTCTTCGTGTCACATGGTAAAGCTATATATTAGAGGTGTTGTAACTGGAGAGATATTATAATATTACATTTTTCTTCATTTATATTACAGATTTTGATGAATTTTGTTGGCAGTATGACATCTTCCTCAGAATATTTTAAGTAGCTATTCTTTAAATGGAAAAGCCTTTGTATTCTCATTTACAATACGGGTGATTGAGGGATGTTGGACTTGTCTCAGGTTCAGTGTTGCAAGTTACATGGCTTAGTGAGGTAATTAAAGTACTCTAACGTTAAGGGTTAAAGAATTTTTCTGGTTGTATTGTAAATTAATGCTCTCTATTACCAAATTAAACATTTACATAGCTATATACTTTAATCCATTATGTTCCAGGATGAAGTACCGCTTGAGGAATCGGAAGAAGTGAGTATCTTTAAGGAAAATGACCTATATCCTACGACATCCTCTGCTATTCCTCGTCCCCAAAGACAAGCTGCAGCACTTTGTAATGTGAAAATGAGGGATTGGCTTATTTCAAAATCAAGCATACACCAAGTAAGCTAGCAAACATTTTAAACATTCCATATTTAATTTTTCTTTATTTCAAATTGATATTATACTTATATTAGCAGTGGGGTATTCCCTTCGCATTCGTTACACCTGACTGCTTTATTATCATAGGTACCGGCGTGGAATGACGACATGTTCATTTTTATGCCCCCCTTCAATTACTTTTGTAGCTAAGGAGTGTTTTACTATAGTTATGTAGAATACGTCCGTCTACACAGGTGACAACTCATTACACTGAACAATGATTACGTGAACGGCTTAAATAGGGCCCTCCGAAATGGAGTCTGAGTTAAAGAATATGGCGGTGAAATTGCTTTTATGAGTCGTCTTCAGCTTTAATTTTGTTTTGCTGCATTTTTTTTCCATCTCGAATCCCCTGTCATAAGTCAGAGACAGTGACAAAATCATTGAACTCGTATGTGAAGTTCTTTCCAGTGTATCAGAGATGCGTAGGCATCTGAGGACTTGTTTGGAGTTAATTCCCTTTAGAGAAAAGAAAATCTGGTTTAAAAACCAGCAGCTGTATCCTGTAACGCCAAATTTATATTCTCTTTTTTGGGAGGGGTTGGGTGGCGGTAATGATAACAATCAAAAAACAAATAGCCAGCTTTTTTTAATAACGATACTTGATACTGACAATGCTAGTGAATATGATTTTGATAAAGAAGTACCAAGAAGAAGAAAAAACCCCTAAAAACAGATATTTTGAATTGTGTTCAAATTTAAGCAACATCGAACTTCAAAGGAGGGGCAGGTTGTTGCCAGTGACCGCCGTAAGTGGCGTTCTTTGTTGAACGGCCTCATGCGTCCTCCGGGGCACGGAGAGGATAAGTAAGTAAGTAGAACTTCAAAAACAAAATGAGGCTGTTGACAGAGAAACTTGACAACCCAGACATTATGTACATATTATGACATTTAATCGAAAATGCCTGAAATGTCAATGTTTTGAAAATTTCTGTATTAAATGATCAAGTTTTATTTAAATCTTTATACATTGTTGAAATTATACTTTTATATCATTTACATTTTTGCCAAATTCCCTTCTTTAAATTGTTTGCAAACCGAAAATTCGGGACATGTTTGCTAAAACACTCTGTACTTTGCAAGGTAATTGTATGGTGTTATTTTTGTTCTGTGAAGCGAAGCATAGCGTCTATAAAAACAATGGTCTCCTCTAACAGGAAGCGCTTTTAAATACATTGAAAAGACAAATTGATTCTCCCAGACGGTAGACTCATTAAAAAGACAGGGGATATTCAGATAAGTCAGGACAAGATATTAGCACAGAAGATAGAAAATTTGGAAAGACAGGTTGTAATAAGTAAGGATAACGCTTTACAGCAAAGTGTAAAAACATTGAAAACACACGTTGATTCTATGAGGCGAGAAGAGAAAACAAAAAAGATTGTAATGAATTGGGAGAACAAGATTCAAGAAACTGAGCAGTTCAACAGAAACATGGCCGAAATTTAAGAACTTCTTAATAATAAAACATTGCAAACCCTTATCTCATTATTTTTTGACATTACAATTAAAACAAAACAGAAAGATAAACAAAAAATCGTCAGACTTCAAGATATTTTTTTTTCGTGTAAGCAATCCAGAAACGGGTTAGTGGCAGAATGTGGGTGGATTACAAATATGGTTTTGGAACCCTTAATTAAGGATGAGTGATTTTATCGGTATATCGCGATTTTTTTTTTTTTTTGCGTGATACGTATCGTGATACGGAGACTAAAATACCGGTATTTGGTACATAACTATAAATTCCAGAAATTATTTATTTGTGCAAATTATTGAATGACAATTACAGGAAGTGTAACAAATATTTAAAACAGTTACACAACGAATCCAAACATGCTTCAGAGTAAATAAATTAAAAAAAAATTAAAAAGTAAAGATCTGTTTTCATAGCATATTTTCAAGAAATAATATGAAAATTCATTTGAAATTGTAAACAGTGTGTGTAAAATTATCAGGATTTATCGTGATATTTGTAAGGAAAAATCGGGATATGTCACGATACGAAATTTTTGCCGATACCCATCCCTACCCTTAATGACTCTTACTGGATTGGTTAATACTTATTTATATTTTAAGCATCTGCGTATATGTTAAGAATTTTTTTTTTATAATAACATTTTTTGCAATCACATCTTGTTAATTTTGTATGATTTTATTTAAGATATCACGTATACTTACTTTTTTCAATACCCAATACACTCTTACAATAGCATATTGAGGGAAATGACGACATCCACAAGTTTACCAAGGGAAGAAACTCATACCTCTACATCTCTTACACTACAAGATGGCAATGGACTTTATCAACAGTTTTCTTTTATTAGGAAAACGGACAATTTCAAACCTTTTCCGGGAGGGCCTGCTACCGGAACCTTGGGTAAGTAATAGGTCAAATGCGTGATTATCAATCAACAGAAAGTGAGAGAGATAGGAGAGAAAGAGGGAAAAATAAGAAGAAAAAAATTAGAAAATAATGACATGCTTAGAGTATAAAAAGGGCTATGTCAATTTTAATATAATGTCATATCATGTCATATCTCTGATAACTTGTGGGTGCATCACTAAAGATCAAGTCAATAGGGAGTCTTGGTTTCCGTCCAAAGAGGAGCTCAAACGGGGTATATCCAGTGGCATCATTTCGAGTACAGTTATAGGCATGAACAACCTTATTGACATATGACTTCCAATCTACTTTTTCCTTGTCTGGTAAGGTACGGAGCATACGGAGCAATGTTCGATTAAACCGTTCGACCTGACCTGACGATTTCCTTGTGGGTGGTAAGTGAATTGGCGCATGGATTTTGTTATAGGATTAGAAATTAAAATCGTTCCTTACCAACCTCTCTCAGCTGCCAAATATAGTCCTCTTCCCGAAAGAATTCAACATCTCAAAGGCATCATTAACATCCAAAACCAAGACGACAAGTGTTTCCTGCGGTGTATTTTAGCTGCATTGCATCCAGTTAATCACAACGCACATCGAGTTCAACATTACCTACCTTTCCAAAACGAACTTAATATGAATGGAATCTCTTTTCCCACCCCACTTTCACAAATCAAAAAGTTTGAGAGACAAAATAAAATCTCAGTCAACGTATTCGGTTTTGAGAAGGAATTTTTCCCCTTATACATTTCTCAACTGGACCAAGCCACTGAGAACGTAGATTTACTTTACTTGCAAGAAGACGGAAATAGCCACTTCTGTTTAATCAAAGATTTAAACCGAGTCTTAGGATCAACGAAGCGATGCAAGAACAAATACTATTTCTGTCGCCGCTGTTTACATGGGTTCACTCGAGAAGAGCTGTTGACAAACCATATCCCCCATTGTAAACAATTTGATTTTCAGAAAGTTGAGTTTCCCATTGAAGGAAAAGATAACATTCTACAGTTTGAAAATTTTCACAAGAAATTGAGAGTCCCTTTTGTTATTTATTGTGACTTTGAAACTCTAGTGGGTCAAAATTTACAAGATTTATTCAGTGGATATTAAAATGAACATATGACATTTCTCAATCAAATATAACATTAAATATTTTTTGGATGTAGATCTATGAAATGTGTTATTTCATGTCAGACATATAAAGCAATGTAAATATTTAAAGTTTATATTAGATATAATAGTATGCTATGGATATTTTAGACGCTACAACCATAATATTTGTCTATTCTAAATGTTATAATAAAATTGATCAAACAAAAAAATTGGTAGTTTTCATTTACATGGTCTAAATCTTGAGAATATGCTGACTTGAGTCACAAAAAAGATCTCGTTCAAAATCCAATCACATAGAGTGCATTTAACTGATATATATAGATATATAATGGAAAATAAGATTTGGAAAAACACTATAACAATTTTTATTCTAATAGCTTAATTTTATAGGGTGGTAGTGATGGGAAAGGGAAATTATGCAGTCTTTTAAATGTAAAATTTTTAATCTTAAATCCTTTCTTTACCTTAATGGGTGAAATGGGTTCAATAATTGGCGTATAATTTGGAATTAAAGGAGTAAATTCCTGTTCCACATGAATGTGTGTTGAAGGAGTGCGAAGTATGACATCATTCGAGGAGGTTGGAAAGGTAGCATCGGTTGTAGGGGTATCAGGTGCTGAGGGGGTGAGAGAAATGGCTTCAGGTGCTGAGGGGGTGAGCGTAATGGCTTCAGGTGCAGAGGTATCGGTTGCTGAGGGGTTGAGCGTAATGGC